TGTCTGTCTCTGTGTGTGCGTGTGTGTGTGTGTAGACAAAATAGCAATTTGCGTTTTCAAACAAAACAGGCCGAGAGCAGAGCTTTAGTTTTTTGTTGTTGTTTTCGTTTTCTTTTTTTTTTTGCCTTGGTTCACAATTGATTGAAATCCCTTAGCGCACACCTTTTCATGCGCTGCCTTTAGGGTATTGGCGCTATGTTGAGCATTATGATAGGAATATCTGTGATCTTTCTACATCTATATATATAAGACATATGTATATATTTTAGTGTATAATTCCTTGCCTTTTGCATTTTGTTTTGAGGAGAGTTCTATAGTCTATTGTGGAGCTCTAATTATGATACTCTTTCTTGCTGTTCTACGTATTAATGTCATTGTCTTTCATATCATCAAGTATTATATACAAAAGTCTTTGAACATGATATTAGGGAGTACTAAGTTTGTTAATTTGTTGTTAAATATATGTATTGCTTATTTCACTTATCATAAAACAACTTTTTGATTTGAGTTGATTTCATTGCATAATCAATTCAGTTGATTAAGCTAAGTATATGATTTAGTCATTGGAAATTGCCATAGTGATAAGGTTTATCGTATGCTTAGCCATTATAATCTTATTCCACAAAACGAAGTTGCATTATAGTTAGTTCAAAGTCAAAAAGTTGTTCTATATAAGAACTAAAGCCTGGGTCCCTTTCTTAGCAATTGATATGCAAAGTTGATTCATGTGAGTAACATCGTATCATATATGCAGTTAGCTTAAGATTTGTCAAGTTCAAGTTCCTCAAGCCAACATGAGTATGCGCCAAGATATATCTAGTCATTTAAGATCAGCCATTCAGCTAATACGATTATCATATAGCTTATATAAGCATAATCAGTGTGAGAGGAGAGACTAACCCCATCACAAGAATATTTCGTGTTCGACTTGCTGTTCGAAAGGGTTCACTCTATGGATTTTGCTTTGTTTCGGATTGTTGTTGTTGCTGTTGCTGTTGCTGCTGCTGCTGGTGTTGTTTGCTGGTGTTTTTGTTGCTTGCTGGCTTAGCTGCGTCACAGAAAACACACAACTTCCGCTTTCTTTGGCAAAAACAATAGAAAGCACATAAATTTATGGTTTCAGCATTGTGCTTTTGACATACAACCATGTGAGAGGGGTAACAGAAAGAGAGAGAGGGAGTTGGGGGATGGGTGAGGTGGCTGCCTGCGCTGGGATTGCCGTTGTAACGTTAAGGGGTTAATATGCCTGCAACCGCAAACGGGATTCGGATTTGGGTTTGCCAATGTGAGGGTTGGACTTGAGTTGACTTTTCTTATAAATAATTTTACTAAATGGATTTGGTATAAATGCTGACATTAAGCATGTGTGTGTGTGTGTGTGAGTGAGTGGGTGTATGAGTGGCTCTGGGTGTGTGTGTGTGTGTGTCTGGTAGCTGCTTGAACTAATTACCTGCAAATTTATTTCATTTTTGTTTTGGCAGGCAAATTCTGTTTACCGAATGCAACAATCAAAATTGGCTAAATTGAGAGTTGGCTCTATAACGGTATTTATATACACTTATAGAGTGTGTGCGTGCGTGAGTGTATGTGTGTGTGTGTGTGTTTGTGTGAATGTTGTGCTGGGCCAAGTTTAATGGTTTTTTGGGGCATTTTCTTGCAGCTGTTTCGCTTGTGGTTGCCATCGCTGCTGCTGCTGTTGTTGTTGTTGTGGCTGTACGTTTCAAAATTTATGTTTGCTGGCTATGAAAATGAAATGACTGTGGTAAACATTTTAATTAAATCCAAGTTTGGCTTCTGCCTTCGTTACAACAATATATTTGGTTGTTGTTGTCGTTGTTGCCACTTTGTTGCCCTGCCACCCACTTGTCTCTCTCTCTCTCACTCTTTCACTCTCTTCTATTTTATATACACAAACACTGTTCTTTATACTTTTTTCGTTGTTGTTGTAGCAAATAAATTTTAATTTTATGTTGGCCGCGTTTTAATTTGTTGTCCACTTTTTGTTTCCTTTTTTTTGTCATTCTTCATTTGTATATATTTTTATTTATTTATTTTTTTATTATTGTTTTCTGCGCTTTTATTCGCATTTACACTTTATGCATGTGCGCATTTATTTTGTTTGCTAGCTTTTTATTGGCTCTGGATGCGGGTGGGCCAGGGGGGCGCTGGCCGTGGGGTTGGGCGTAACGCTGACAGCCGGTCAAGTGACAGTTGCCACAGCACACACACACACACACAGAGAGAGAGGGAGGTAGTGTGTGTGAGAGAGAGAGCGAGCACGCACGCAAATATGAAATGCAAAACAAACTTTGCAGCTGTCACTCAAAAATGAGCGTCGCAACGGACGACAGCGAACAAAGCGATGCAATGCACACGAGCTGTGGCAGGAGGCGGTCTGTGTGGTGGGCGGGCGAGGGGGCAGCTGTGCACTGAGAGAAATGTGAAATGGTTAATTGGGCGGAAAGGTATTTGGGTATGCGAAATGGCTGTCGCTCTATAAAACGACGAGTTTTGCAGTGCCCAGCAGCAACAGCAGGAGTAGGAGCAGCAGCAGCAGGAGCAGGAGCAGCAGCAGCAACAGCGACAAAGTGGGTTAGAAAGGTAAATGAAAGGTTGACGGACAGTTAATTTCGGGCAGTTGATTGAGTTATGAGCTCTGCACACACTGCAAGAAACCAACAAAAAGAGAGCGACTGAGCGAGTGAATGAGTGGGAGAGAGAGAGAGGATGGGTAACTGTTGGCAGCTGTTTGCGTATATACGATTTTCCATTTTGGCATATGTGATATGCGTGAATGGTGCGGATATATGACAGATGCTCGCAATGGATTCACAATTCAAATCTGTTGCAACACATCGAGTGAACAATGCCAGAAGAAGTGAAGCTTTAAAAGTTTGCTAGGAAGATATACTATGCATATGAGTGAGAGAGAGAGAGAGAAAGAGAGAGGTAGAGAGAGAGAGAGAGGTAGAGAGACAGAGAGTGATAGAAAGAAAGAGAGAGAGAGAGAGTGAGAGAGGTAGAGATTCAGAGAGTGAGAGAGAGAAAGAGAGAGAGAATGAAGTTGACAGTCTTGTGATTGATTTTCGCCAAGTTATAAAATATCTATATAATAATTGCAAATCTTTAAAAAGTTGATTGGTCTGCTATGGATATTTCTATTTAAATAAATTTTATAAAATAAATTGAATATAACTAATGTTTCAAGCTAGAGCACTACGCTATGCTATTAACAGAGCTATGTTAATAACATAGCCGCAACTCCAGTTCTTCTACTAGATCTCAAGACTATTACTGCACTTTTTACCTACACATTACAAAGCATTCCAATAATATACTACATTAAGAGATAAGAGCTTAGCTTCCCTGATATAATAAGGAAAAGGAAGCTATGACTCCTCATCTATTTTACAATACTATAATACTAACTCAGCTAATAAATCCAATTGAAATGTTGGCTCGCATTCAAGCTACAACTCCGCCAACACCTCTCACAGCGCTAAACGTCATGAGTTCGCATATTATAAAGTGCATATTCAGTGTGAATAAGTGAATGGTCGCTAGCACAGGCAAACAAAACATTCATGAATCTATAGCACGCGACTTGCCCGAACAGGCGCAACTCCTTCAGCTACTTGCAATAGAAAGTTGTTCTACACCTGGGCCTAATTGGCGTTTCATTCCAGGTGGAAATGTCGAGCGAACCGCCCCATTAAAACTTAGAGTGTAGCATGCCACATTACACATACGTACCGTAGTACAGAGCAGCAGTTGAGGCTATCTCCCTCTCTCTCTGGCACTTGCCTACTTGGTCATCAATTTACATGCCACACACGCATAGCTGCACTTGCCTTTCTCTCTCTCTCTCTCTCTCACTCTGTCTCTCTCTGCCTGCATTTACGCCAGTTGCTGCTGTTATTTATGGCCAACGAAAACTGTCATAAGCAAACAAATTGTTTTTTATTGTTCATAATTATTGTGCATACTTATGTAAATCACGCGACGCATTTCGACGGCGCGTTGCATGCACCCCGGCCGATCCGCAGAATGTGGCAAGCGCAACTAGTTGCTGTTGCCCCGCTGCTCCCGCCACTGCTGCTGTGGTAGAGGCAACACAAGAAGAACAAAAAAAAAATTGTTTGTTTTATTGAATTTTTATTGTAGTTTGAATTTATGACGCCATGCGCTAGCAGCCCGTCGACTGGATTAGGGTATTTCTTTGCCAGCTCTGGCAGCAGATGACTTTATCGGCTTTTTGCTGCATTAAATCGCAGCCGAACTGTTAGCCTGAGCCCATCATGCCCTGGCCCTGGCCCACCCCCAACTGCCGTGCTGTTTGTCTGGCAATTTTGTTGAAACAACTTCAGCGTTTGCGTCTGTGTGCGTACGTGCCACTGAAGTGCGCTCGGCAGGACTCTGCGCTCAGCGCTCAGCGCTCTGCTCTGCCAGATTAGCTTGGCAAAACCGCAGACAACAGCTGCCATGGCAGAGGCTGGATCTCCCCACACTCGACCCACCCACTCTCCCAGTCTCCCCCCTCTCTCCCTCTCTCTCCCTCTCTCTCTCTCTGTTTCTGTGCAAGTGCCAAAGAGGCGGCACGGCATGAGTTTTTCGCTTTTCGCTCGTTTCAGTATTTGGTTTTTTTTTCCCCCCGTCGTCCTGTTGGTTTTTGTTGAGCCTTGAAGCGTGTGCATGTGAATAATGTCCAGCAATTGGCTTTGGAGTTGGGGTTTATTGGCGCTTGTGTGTGCCACAGACGACGTCATTTATTTATGAGGGCAAACGCGCGCGCGAATTTTTATGAAGACCGTAACAAAAATTAGTAACTTTTGCCAGGCGCTGATTCTGCTGGCTGGAGTTACTGCTCCTCTTCCTGCTGCTCGTCCGTTTTTGATGACTGCTCCCTGACATTTCATAAACTTTCGCTTATTGATTATTTACCACAGTTACTGTTGCTTCTTGTTGTTGTTTCATCCTGTTGCTTTTGTTTTTATTTGCAGAGAGCTTACGCGATTATTTTGGACGCTACGGCGATATCTCTGAGGCAATGGTCATGAAGGATCCCACGACACGCAGATCCAGGTGAGTTCAAGACATCCAAAATTTGTTTGTGTGCTGTGAAAGAGTTTAAGATGAAGTCTAAGTGGAAATTTCTTAGGTTTCTTAAGAAGTAAATGAAGCAGGGGAGTCTTATACCTAAGCTTGAGATCTGCCTGCGTTTGTATATAGAAGCCTGGATTGATTCTCTCTGCTGATTGCTGGCTTTCACTTTATAGAAGACTGTGTTGTGGCTATTTCCAATATCAGAAACTCTATCTAAATTCAGCTTAAAGTAAATTACTAAACTAATTTCATAATTGGCTGCGACTCCATAGCTAGATTGAAATTTGTTTAGTGCACTACTTTGCAAACAACTCAAATTATATAATTTGCAACTTAGCAAGAAGTTCACTCAACTCGAACGTAAAGCTTTTACCTTCACTTTTCACATTTTGGCAATCAAAGATATTTCAGTATGAAAACTTTTGCTACTACAAATCTGACGCAACTCAGTTTTCGCTTTGTCTATTTTTTAGCTGCAGTTCGACAGAGCTAAAAATTATTATCATAAATAATAAATTGTATGCAATAAATGAAATTTAATAAATAAATTTTTACACGAGTCAACAAAATATTTTATTATGTGTAGAGATATTATTTTGATTTTTTTGCAATGCTAAAAATATTTGAATTTATGTTCCTAAATTTGACCTCACAAATTTTGGCAGTTTTATTTTATTTTATTTTTTTTTTTTAAGTAATTCATTAATTGACTTTTGGCCTGCTTTAAAGTTGGCTTGAAGTGCTGTAAATAAAAATTTGAAGCAAGTTTTAAAACATAATTGAAAACATTGCTTATTGAAACTAGTTTCAGGGTTAGTCAAGGCTTTGAAATGCAAACGGAATTTATTCAAATGACCTGCAGCTGTAGTGGGGGCAACTCAGAAGTGAGCCAAGCTAGCTATACTCGTTCACGAATGGAAAGAGAGTATATTTGTACAAGATTCGTCTAGCTGTTCGTTGGATTACGCATAGGAAGTCTAATTTGAAGTAAATAGTGAAAGAGTAATATGAAATCTTTCTCTCCTTTTTATAGGAGCTGCTCTCTATAGAGCAGCTTTAAGGCAACCCTACTCATCTCAGCTCAAGCAGCGTCAACAAAGTCCATTCCCAACTCCTTTCTCTACCCGTTTCCAGCATTCCTAGCTCTCATATCTATTTTTTACCCGTTCCGTATCGATTTCTATTCCCATATATTCAATTTACAGCAGAAAAAAGGGGATAGAAGAAGCAGAGATATCATATGTACATGTATAGCACTGTAATTGTTTTCATGCCTTGCGTTTGGCTATCTGACCAGACTTTGATTATTATTCTGGTAAATCTCGGTGACCGCGTTTACCTTTCCAGCTTTTGTTATTGACGCTCCTCTCTCTTCTCAGCTACTCTCTGCTCTGCTTTGCTCTTTCGACTACAAATTTCCATATCCGTTTTTGCTCTGCTTGTTGTTGTTGTTGTTGTTTATGACCATGCGCGACTGCATCCATTTCCAAATTTGAACAGTTTGGTTAACCGCTAATTGGTTTTCATTTTCATTGATTTTCCCCTCCATTTTTTTTCTTGTTGAGTCCACATGATATATGAGTGTGTGTGTGTGATGCAGATACCCTCGTCTCTCTCTGTCTCCCTCTCTTTCTCCTGTTGCAACTGTCTCTGCTTGTCGTGCGTGCTGCCGTGTGTTGTGTTTATTCGAATCGTTTGTCATTTGTTGCGGTTTCGATCAGCTTTTGGTTGACTGCACCGAGACCACCCTCCACAGCCACGCCCCGCTCAATCAGGCCGCCCTTTCATTACTTTTTTGTATTAATTTTTGTACTCGTTGTTGTTGCTGCTGACCTTATTCAAAAATGCTTAACGTAAATTAGCTGGTTTTTGCGGACGGTATGAATAATGAGCGGCGTTTAATGAGTCAATTGCAATTGAATTTGAGCTGCGATAATCACGAGCAGCAGCAGCAGCAGCAGCGGAAGCAGCAACAATGACAGCTTGTAAATGAACTTAACGACTTTGTATGTGTGCATGCGTGTGCGTGTGTGCGTGCGTGTGTGTGTCTGTCACTCAAATTAAGCGTTTTATGGCGGCGCACGTGGCGTATGCGCAATGTGAGCACACGCTAAGCGTAGCGCGTGCGAAAAGTTAAGCGCATTCCTTGCCCTTTCTTTTATTTTTTTTCCCCTCTCTCTCTCGCTCTTATCTTAGTTGCTTTTTAAGAAGTGCTGGCAGCTGGTATGCCGTAAGCGAAATACATCCTTGTTTTAATTGAATTTCATCTAATGTCCTGTGCGCCGCTGAATGGGTTGGCAGCTGCTCCACTCAGGTTAACAAGCCGGCGCCTCGGCTGTGCAAAACTTTATGCCACATTCTCCAACTACAGCTGTGAGTGCTGCTGTTGTTGCTGCTGCTGCTGTTGCTGCCATGTGTCCTTTGCCTTTGTGCATGTCACGTTGGCTGGCAAAATTTTTATGAACTGCGTGCAGCAGCGACAGCAGCAGCCGGAGCAGGAGCAGCTACAGTAACAACTCCACTGATTCCCAAAGCAGGCAACGCCATTGGCTGCTGTCTTAACAGCAACGAGGACAGCGAGGACAGCGAGGCTGCTGCTGAGGCTGGAGCTGAGTCTGAGTCTGAGTCTGAGGCTGTGTCTGATGAAATCTACGGGCTCTACGGGTAGTTGTTGCTTGTAAATTCCGCAGCTCTATTTGTAGCCAGCATCGTTCTCGATGCCGTTGCCGTTGCCGTTGTCGTTGTCGCTGCTGATATCATCGTGTCAGGGATTTCTAGCAAAATTTAATAAAAACTTTATGTCGCTTAAAAGAATGTTTATGGAAATTTTTCACTTAAACTTGCGCAAAGTAATAAATGTAAACAGAATTCCTGAAAAGGTGCGACAACAAAATTCAAACTGAGAGCAACAGCAACGACAACGGGCAACAAGCTGCACACTAAGTTGTAGCTGTTGTTGTTGCTGTTGTTGCTGTTGCTGGTGGCGCCGCAGCGAGAGTCAACAGTGCGGTTAATAAATATGCGCACCAGGGCAGACATTTTACCGCTGGCAAAGAAAGCATTGCATGCGACTAGGCAGACTCCTCTTCCACTTCCTCCTCCTCCTCCTTCTCCTCCTCCTGCTCCTGCCTCTCGCCTGTTGCTGGCTTAGATAGAACAAGCAGTCAGATAGATTGAGATACATGCGCCACACACAGATATGGCAGGCGGCACTTTTGTTCACTCTCTCCATCTCACTCACTCTCTCTCTCTCTCTCTCTCTCTCCATCTCTATCTGTGTGCAAATGAGATTGTATATTACAATAAAATGGAGTGAAGTACAAATTAGAAAACTTGCAAATAAATTTAAAAGCACAAAATGAAAACAGAATAACAACAACAACAACAACAACAAGAGCAACAGCAACTGGAATAAATAACAGAAAAAGAAATGAAAGAAGAGAAAAAGCAGCTCACAGAGCAAAGCAAATGGCAAACAAAACACATTCAAGCGGAGGCATTAGATAGAGCGGGTGCTGGGAGCTACAAAAAAATAGCAAAACTTTTGCAACTTAAGCGAGTTCTTGCTGTTGTTGTTGTTGTGGCAGCAGAGACAAAGCGGGTCGCTGAAGTGCAACAACAATAAAAATTGAGTAAAATGGCAAATGGCAGCTGTAGCAGCGCCTCCAGCCCCCAAACACGCCCTCTCCAACAGCAGCAGCAGCAGCAGCATAAGTAAATCCAAACAATTTATTGTTGTACTTTTAACATTCTTCTCATGCGCATTGTTGTTGTTGTTGTTGTTGTTGTTGTTGCCTGCCACCATTGAAGCAAACATAAGCGACTTTTCAATGAGTTTGGAAAGTTATTGAAACATAAATTATATCGCACGGCGCACGCACGCCAAACGCAGAGACCCGGAGACCCGGAGACCCGGTGCCAACAACCACAAGCAAGCCCACAAAATACGCCCGAAAGCAGCAACAGCAACAACATCAACAAGAGAAACAACAAATATAGCACCCCTTTATGACTGCCAGGCATTTAGGGGCTGGGGCCAGTTGGTGCTGGGGCTCGGGTGCTCCACGTGGAGGGCATTTGCCACCTCTCACGCATTTTTGTGAATGGCAATTAAGTTAAATTTTTCTTTCTCTTGTTAATGTTTTGCCATGCCCTTACCCGAAAAGGTCAAGGCCTAACACATTTCTCATGCAGCTTGCAACGCCGTCGAAAGTTTACCTGAAATTGCTGTCAACGCGCATAAAGAGACAATGTGAATATTATTGTGCATAGTGCTTAAGCAATAAATTAGAATTTTATTTAATTGCACATGAGAAGGGGTGGGGAAAAGGTTGTGAACAGAAGAGAGAAGAGGCAGTATGGAAGTGAAAGTTGAAACTGTGCATTAGGTAAAGTAAGGACGTTTGTTCAGCTGATTCGCATTGATCTGATAGCGGCAAATCGACTGTAAATGGGAAATGGAATGAAACCTAGTGGCTTGAATACACTCTAGTACTATAGAAGATCTGCAATCATGATCTGCTTTTATATTGCATTGATAGCTAATAGCTAACAAGTGAGCCCTTAGGCCTTCATATTTTGAGTCTCTCTTGCGGTAAATACAATAGCAGAAATCAAAAATCATATAAAATGCTAATGAAGCCACTCTTAAGCTATGAAATATGATTGAAGGCTAACATATATGGATTCGTTTATGCATCTGTATCCAAAAGAGAGCGAGCTTAGTAAATTTTTGGCTTCTTCCTTGGGAGAAACTTTATACTCGTTATCAACTGTTGAGACATCGAAATATATATATATATATGAAGATATTATACAAAAATTATTACACAATTATAGCCTTTATTTTTATATAAAAATACTCCATGTCTATTAACATTATATTTTTATAAAAATACTCTATATCTATATATCTAATATTTCTATAAAAATACTCCACATGTAACCACAAAGTTTTCTCATCTCTTCAGCACAAATTT